AATAGGTTCATATTAAATAAAGGCTTTAAAAAATTGTAAGATATGAAACATCACTGGTCATTCATCTACTATCTAGTAATCTACTACTCTCTTAAAAACAATAATAACCTACTTGTATCTAAGTCTGACTTTCTACAACATAAACCCTTTGGGAAATGTCCAGAAACTGAAGAAGCAAACAGCCTTTTAACAGTTGAAATAGCCATCACAAAGCCCGAGTTCTTCCCTGCAGAGGAAAGACTTTTAGGAATAAGAAGTTCTACCGGCTCTTTCTGTATGTACAATTTTGATAAGCTAAGTTACAGATTAAGAGCAAAAAAAAAAAAAAAATGAGTAAGATAGGGTCTCTTACTACAGACTGCGACCTCAGCAGCAGAGGGAAAGTAGGGGCTGTTTACCTAACAGAGGCAAAATAACTAACTGTAAAAAAAAAAAAAAAAAAAAAAATCCCTCAAAACAACCAAACCAGAGGGGAGGAGGAATGGGTCTTGTTTAAAGGGTAGGAGCTTCAGTCTGGGATGCTGACCTTCCGGAGATGGGCGGTGACGATAGTTGTACAACATTGCGAATGTACTTAACGCCGCTCAACTGTGCACTTAAAATTAGTTGCAATGATAAATTTTATGTTATGTATATTTTATCAGAATTACCAAAAAAGGTTTAAAAAAAAAAAAGAGTTCATTATTGAAACAGTTTCCAACCGCCAGAGTTGATCTTGTTAATCCTTTCTTTGGAAGTCGCTACAAGCTTGCAAAACGGAAAACTCCAAGGAACAAAGAACCAGGAGACCTCCTTGGCTGACCCAGAGTCCTTGATTTAGAGAAGAAGGTGGTATTTACACTTCGATATTTGAGATATTAAAGTGCATTCAAGAGCACCTGGGTGGCTCAGTTGGTTAAGCCTCCGACTTTGGCTCAGGTCATGATCTCACCCTTCATGAGTTCAAACCCCGTGTTGAGCTCTGTGCTGACAGCTCAGAACCTGCTTCGGATTCTGTGTCTCCCTCTCTCTCTGCCCCTCCTCCACTCACACTCTGTCTCTCTTTCTCCCCTTCAAAAATAAATAAGCATTAAAAAAAATAAAAAAATAATTCTGTAAAGTGCATTCAGTACATTCAAATTAGTAGTTAAGACGTTCTTTACATGTAGTCTCAGGGGAAGCATATGGTTCCTGCCCCTGTGGAATTGATAATCTACTCAAGGAAACAACACACGTGGCTATAAAATGAATTAAATCAGTGTGCCTCACCTTCTAGTTTTGTAGGCCTCTGAAGACCAGATACTGCTTTTCAGGCATGAAGGCATAAAGAGGGCAGGCCATAATCGGGTTTCTTGCATTCAAAGCCTGGGGCAGGGGTGGGGCAGGTAGGTAATCTGATGGCATAGTCCTTGGGTGCCTCAGTGAGACCCTCTACAACATCCTGGCCTCACAGCTGCGGGGGTGGGGTGGGGGACCCTGCCTGGGTGGGGGGCCCTGGCCGGGCAGCGGCTGCTGCTCTCTGCTCTGGCTGCTGCCAGAGACGTGCCTTTGAGTTCTCTCGTTCGTCACTCCAGAAAGCCTGCTCTTCCTCCTTCAGATAAAGCACAAGGGAGTTATTTGATTTCAGTTTCCTTATTTATAAGGACACTATATCGAGACTTCCTACACCTGTGTTTTCGAGCTTTGGGGCCAGATCTATCAAGGTTTGAATCCCAGCTCTTAGATCTTGGGTGAGTCACTGGGATCCTCTGTGTTTTAGGGTCCTCTTCCAGAAAATGGGGTTAATAACATAGTTGTCTAGAGTTGTCTAGAGAAAATGGGGTTAATACACAGTTGTCTGTGTATTAAATTGATAATACACAAATTTAGGTATAGAGTAGGGGCACACACACACACATCTGTATACATACTATGTTAATTATTTGCACACCGCATCGTTGCCACCACTACAAGCTTCGTGCTCAGCTGGACTTGGGTTCTCTCTCTCTCCTCTTCTCTGCCCGATGCATTGGGTGGATGTACTTCTTCAGTTGATTATTTAATTAAACATAATTTCTGTTAACTATTCTATTTAGAAGTATTAAGAATCATCAAAATTACTTAAAAGGGTGAAATCGGTAACAGAGATTAGAGTCACCAGGAGCAGTGAGTGATGGATACAGTTGTTAAATCACTATATTGTACACCTGAAACTAACGTAACATTGTATGTTAACTACACTGGAATTCAAAAACTTAATAAAAAAGTTTTTTAAATTGGGGCATCTGGGTGGCTCAGTTGGTTAAGTGTCCAACTTTGGCTCAGGTCATGATCTCATGGTTCATAAGTCTGAGCCCGGCCATCAGGCTCTGTGCTGACAGCTCAGAGCCTGGAGCCTGCTTCGGATTCTGTGTCTCCCTCTCTCTGCCCCTCCCCTGCTCATGTTCTGTCTGTCTGTCTCTGCCTCAAAAATAAAAACTTAAAAAATTTTCTAATTTAAGGGAAATTAAAAAAAAGAAGAAAAATCAAGGACGTAAAAAATAATAAAATAAACAAAACAAAAATCACCCAGATTCACTACATCCAGAAACTACAATTTTAACATTTGGCTGCATATTTTTCTGGACTTAAAAAGAAAGACATGTATATGTGTGTATTGAAAAATTTTTTTACATGACACGTTATATAATATATATTTTTGTATATAGCCTGTAAAAATATAAATATATGTACTGATAGTGTTTTACGAAATTGGATGGTGTACTCTATTATGTCACTCCCAGACTGCCAGCCCCAGCAGGGGATAATCAATGTGGTTTTGCTCTCCATGGAGTCCCCAGTGCCTACTTTAGCCTATGACTCATAGCAGCACTCAAAAAATAACAAAACAAAAAACCCAAAGGAATGAATGACTCCATATCAATAAACACATATCCAGAATAACAATAAACACGACCATGAATCACAATATTCCCCTGCATAGGTGTGTCAATCCCCCCAAGCAAGCTTCCATTTAGAAACTTACTTGTTTCCAATTTGTTTCCCATGGATATTTGAAAAATTTTAAAAGATTTTTTTGAAGAAAGGCACAAAGAATAACGCAGCACACAGGACTGCACCTAATTGCCGAGAACCAACGCATTTTAAGATTTTGACAGCTTTGCAACACTTTTTTAAAGAAAAGAAGAAACGCATTGGAGGTGAAGTTGAAGTCGTCATTTTTCTCTCCTCAGTCTGGTTTCCCTCCAAGTAGGCAACGGCGGTCATGAACTTGGTGCATCTTCTTGCAGTCTCCACGTCTATACTCACAGAAGCATGTGATTCGTATAGGTTCCGTGCCATTTTATTTATTTATGAATATGGTATCGGAGCGGCTTACTTTTTTCGGCTCTCCAATTCGAATTCTTTCACTTATCCTTCGAAAAGTATACAGCTAGTTCATTCACGCGGCTATGTTGTCACGTGAATGTCTACCATTTATTTTCCTGCTATTCCCTATTGCTGGGTATTTTATGTTCTTGAGTTTTCACTATTGCAAACAACGCTGTGATGCTCAATCGTAATTACAAAATTTTATAAGGGTTTTTACACATAATTTTGAAGTCCATTGAATTCCTTTTATTTACAATACTGCTTTGACCAAAAACAGGTTTTATTTAGTTATGTTTACATCTTTGAAGGCAGCAAGGGCGGGACCTTTAAACACACACAAAGAAGCCTGGCAGCCAGCCCAGCCGGCCGGGGCGGGGAGGAGAAAGTCAGGTCGGTGTTCCGAGAGGTGCACAGGTGAGCGCGACAGGGACGCAATTACAGGTTATCCGCTGGGGACTTCAGCGCACAAGATGCCTGGGTCGAATGTGGGATAAGATCGGAAAATAAAATTGAAGTCGAAGTGCACAATAATGGTTTAAGAACCAGAGCTCCAAGAGGAGAGAACACGGGAGCGCTACCTGGGAAGATTCCCGCAGGGCGAAGGCAGAGGCGCGGCTGGAAGCCTGGCGGGCAGCAGGAGAGGAAGGGGGCAAGATGACAGGCCAGGGACGGGTGAGGTCGTTAACGTGCCAGAGATAATGACCCTCATGACTTGTTTCTTTTCAGATTAAAATTTTAAAACTCGCGGGGGTTTGTTAATCAAAAAGGAAACTGGATTCGCTTTTTTTAAAATATTTTTTTAAAAATTTATTTCTAGGAGAGAGAGAGAGAGACAGCGTGAGCAGGGGAGGGTCAGAGAGAGAGGGAGTCACAGACTGAAACAGGCTCCAGGCTCCGAGCTGGCAGTCAGCACAGAGCCCGACGCGGGGCTCGAACCCACGAACCGCGAGATCATGACCCGAGCGAAAGTCGGACGCTTAACCGACTGAGCCCCCCAGGCGCCCCGTGGATTCGCTTTTTCAGCGACACGAGCGGGTCCCGGCCACCCCGCGCCGCAGGCCGCGCTCACACCTGGCCCAGGCCCCGCGCGGGACCCGGCGCCGCGCCCGGAGCGCACAGACGGGAGCGGCGGAGGGGCCGCGCTGCAGGGCGCTCGCCGGCCTCAAGACCCTCCGGTCCTGCACGTCCTGAAACACTTCTCCCCAAACCGCCGCAGCCCCGGGGTTCACCGAATTAAAACTGACGGACGTTGGAGGTACACTGGAACGTCCTTTAGCTGCGGACACGCGGCCGTCTGTCCCCTTCGGCCCTCCCTCCCCGCAGCCCGCATCTACGCGGGCACTCGGGGCTCTTCGGGCCTGTGGACTCGCCCTCTTCCCCACGGCTGGGGGGTGCCCTACAGCGGCTTCGACCGCAGCCCCCGGCGGCGGCACGGCGCAGTCGGAGGCGCGGGGCGGGGGCCGGAGGGGCGGGAAGGGCCGCCAGCGCCGGCGGGGAGGCCGCGGGCAGGTGGCGGCGGCGGGGCCGGGCGGCCGCGACCCGGAGGCAGGAAGCGGCGGCGGGGCGGAGCGCGGCGCAGCGGGCCGGCCGCCGAGCAGCCAGGGCCGCGGGCGCCCCGCCCGGGCTGGTATGCGGCCGAGAGTGACGCGGGAGGCGGGGTCACGTGACGCCCGTGGAATGCCAACAATGTAGCGAATGTCCCACTTGGGTCTGCGCGCTGGAACCTCGGCGTGAGCGCCCCGGGAAGATGGAGCAGCCGCCGCCCGCGCCGCGGCCGCCCGGGGCTCCCCCGTCCCCGCGGGGCCAACGGCAGCTCCAGCCACCGGCGCCCGGTCCCGCGGCGCGCGAGGCCCCGGAGCCACGGGCGAGGACGCCCCGGAGGGTGTAGACCGCGCCCCAGGAGGTGAAGGGGCAGGGGCGGGGGGCGCGCGGCTAGGGGCGGCGGCGGCGGCGGGGCGGCTGGAAGTTTCCGCGCGCCCGCGGGGCCCGGGGGCTCCCCGCGCCCGCCCTCGGGCGGCTGCGGGCCGCGGCTCCGGGAGGGGCGCCCGACTCGGCGGGGCGGCGGGGGCGGGGAGCCGGGCGGCCGAGGAAGTTTGTCCCGAGCGGAGCGCGGCGCCCTGCCCCCACGGCCCCCGCCCGGAGCCGCCTCCGCTGGCGGCGCGTCGTCGCGGGCCGTCCGGCGTCCGCGGGGCCGGGAAGTTGGGAGCGAGCGCCCGGCCGGCGGGGCTGCGCCGCTTTGTTGTGCGCCGGGCGGCGGCGGCCGGGCTCCCCGGCGGGGCAGCGGCGGCCTGGCCGGGGGCGGCGAGCGGGGCGGCCCGAGGGGGCTGTCCGCGCCGCGGGCGCCCCGCCTCCACGGGCCGGCGGAGCCGGGCTTTTCCCCGCCGAGGCCGGGCCGGGCCGGGCGCGCGGCCCGACAGCGCCGGGATCCCGCGGCCGCCGCACCGCCGTCTACGCGGGCCGCGCCGTCCGTCCCCGCACAGGCCTCGGCGCCGTGGCCTCGCGGGCCGTGCGCCCGTCCCCCGCCCCCCACCCGCCCCCCGGCGCCGCCCGGCCGGCGCTCGCCGCCACCTCGCCGGCTGCCCCTCCCGGCCCTCGCGGGTCGCAGCCCGGGCTTCGGGGGCGCTGTCGCGGCCGAGAGCGCGGCGGCCGTTGCGTAACACGCCTGTGCTGCGCCCGGGCTCAGCCGGCTTTCTGATGCAACCGCACGTGCAGCGGGCGCCCCGCGGACCCCGGGCGCGCCCTGCGGGGCTGCCCTCGCCGCCCGGGGAGGGGCGGCTCCCCCGGGGGCAGCGCGGCGCGGGCCGGGCGGGACGGCAGCCGGGAGCCGACCTGGCGCGCGTCGCGGCCGCGTCCCCGGTGCCCCAGGGGCGGGGGAGGGCGGCCCGCGGAGGGGGTGAGACTCACCTGACGGCGGGGGTGCGGGGCTGAGCCCTTCCGATGGGAAGTGGCTGTTTTTCCCTTGCGAGCGTGACCGGGAAGGGACGCTTCACGTGCGGCGTTGTTAGGGCGAAATGTTAAGCGACAACTTTGACATGTTCGCGCGTGTGTAGGGTGTCAGTGAGCGTGCTCGTAAGTCATCTAGACTTTTAACAATTGTTGAGTGCCGCTGCGAAGCCAGAGGCTGTAAGTCTGGCAGATAAAACTTCAGCGGCCGAAGAACTCTCTTCCCAAAGTATTCGGCAAATGCATTTTTACAGGACTGTTTGGCCCCATATTACAAAGAAACTTAACTATACCGAAATTTGAATGGAAAGTCCCAGGACGTGTGTTGTGTTGTCGTGTGTTTGGTTTAAACTTAAAGTTAGTAGATGGGGGGCCTTCCTTTAATAATGGAGAAAGCAACTCGTGGCTTACTGTTAGGAAGTTTGTGCTAAGGGAGTCTTGCTCCATATATTCAGTTGAATCTCAGCGTGAATCTCTCCATGACGGATCACCACTTTTGAGGGCTAAACCAAGGACTAAGAGACTTTGTATCTTTCAAAGTCTCTTTTTTTTCTTTAGCAGCTGTTGTACTAAGGTAGTAACAACAATCCTAGAAAATAAGAATGCAGAGACTGTTTAAGAAAGTCTGTTTTAAATTACAATTAACAAGACACGACGTTATTCAGCATCTCATAAAATTTGGTCTCATTATCCAGGCATATAGAACACTGTTTAATGAATGCACCAGCATTCTTTTGAAATTAAAATTGCTGAACATTTAATAAATCTCCAAATGTCAAGCAATTGAAAATAGTATCTGCAGAAGACATCATGCAGAATTATTAAGGTGAATTACTAGAGTCATGGAATTTTAGAATTGGAAAGGATTCTACCAGCCTCTGCATCTGGTTGGAAATAGTTTTGACCTAAGTGTAAATTGGAACTGTACATATTTCTTTCCTTAGCAAATCACAGGGTTGATGGGAGGGACTTTCCTTTGGTGGGAGGGGAATGTTTTTACAATAAGATGACTTGTTATTTTAAATGCTGTGTTGTAAATAGCCAGCCCTAGGCTCCTAAATCCCACTGTTTTGGGGGGGGGGGGGTTGAAGCTGATAAATTCACCATAAGTACAGGGAAGGATTTGGAAAGCTTCTGGGGATGGGGGGGTTGGAGGGGTTCTGCTTTGTTTTGGAAAAATCAGACCAGCACAGTTTTTGAAAAGCTGTTTTTCTAAAAAAAACTTTTTAATGTTTTTACTTATTTCTGAGAGAGAGAGAGAGACAGCGTGAACAGGGGAGGGTCAGAGAGAGAGGGAGACACAGAATCTGAAACAGGCTCCAGGCTCTGAGCTGTCAGCACAGAGCCGATGCGGGGCTCAAACCCACAAACCGAACCGTGAGATCATGACCTGAGCCGAAGTCTGACGCTTAACCGACTGAGCCACATAGGTGCCCCTAAAAAGCTGTTTTTGTATTTTATTTCATGGTGATAATGTAAGACTTCTAAACAGTATTCCTTACTGACTTCTAAAAAATGGCTTGAAGAAATACAGAAGAAAACTCAGTGCATTTAATTTGTCTTGATTGTAAATCTGCTCAAACAGGAGGAAAATATCATCAGCAGAATGAAGGGGTTGGGCTTGATAATGCCGAAGTGACTGACTTCCAGCTCAAAAAATTCTCTGAATCTCCTTACTTAAAAAAAACAAAAACAAAACCGAGTGCTTAGTAATTCCTCTGGACATTTCTGGGCTCCGTGGCACAAGTCCAGGCACCACTGCTGTACGTTGGAAGGGTGATGCCCTATGCAGCAGGCTCTATCCCACAGAGCACCTCTCAAGGGCTCCTGGTGGGGCGCCTGCGCGGCTCAGTCGGTTAAGCATCCGACTTCGGCTCAGGTCATGGTCTCACGGTTCGTGGGTTCGAGCCCTGCGTCAGGCTCTGTGCTGACAGCTCAGAGCCTGGAGCCTGTTTCGGAGTCTGTGTCTCCCTCTCTCTCTGCTCCTCCTTTGCTCATGCACTCTCTCAAAAATAAATAAACATAAAAAAAAAAAAGAAGGTCTCCTGGTATTTGACGGTAGATAGCCCTGCTTGGACCACCAGTTTCACTAAGTGTTAGCTGTTCTCTCCGTAATTTTTTAAGGCAAATGTTACTCGATTTGTTGTTTCATTTTGGAAGTATTATTCAAAGAAGTTAACATTGGAAAGAAAGATTATGTGGGTAATACTAAAATTAGGGCAGAAACTTAACATTGCTTAATGTTTGCCATTCACAACATGAAAACAAAACTTCATGTTGCTTACCCGGATGGTGACAAGTCGTTTTTTAAGTTAATTAAATACTTGTTCATGTGCTAATATTTGACATTCATAGGGATTTTTCTGGAGGACAAGTGAAAAATCATGTGTTTTGTAGCAGTGGTTTAAATTTATTGTCAGCAAACTGTTGTTATATTGTGGCATAGGGTAGATTCTGCAGCCTCTAAATTAGCAAGGATGGCAAAGATCTTTATGAATGTAAGTTGGCTTTCTTTAAAAATTTTTTTAAACGTTTATTCATTTTTGAGAGAGAGAGATAGAGTGCGAGTGGGGGAAGGGCAGAGAGAGAGGGAGACACAGAATCTCAAGCAGGCTCCAGGCTCTGAGCTGTCGCAGGGCTCGAACCCACGGAGTGGTGAGATCATGACCTGAGCCGAAGTCAGATGCTTAATTGACTGAGCCACCCGGGCGCCACTGTGAGTTGGCTTTTGAATGGAGCGGGCCTCTGGAGTATTGGCCTCCCTGCCTCCCGGCAGTTTTCCTGATGAGGAATGCTAAGGACCAGCAGGCTCCATTACTAATTAACACCATCCTACCTCAGGAGCCTCACTCCTGTGTTCTCACTAGATGTACCCAGACAGTACTGCCCCTCCCCAACATTATCTGCCTGTTCATCTTTCTCTTGTGCGTTTGAGACTTTTCACAGGAAGTTCCAGACTCTAAGAAAAGCTTCACACTTCCTTCATCACATCATGGCCCTTTAGCCTTTCCAGTGTTGGTGAACCGATCCTTTCTCTAATAGACTTTCCCCAAATAGGCGCATGGACTGGGATTCTTTGCACCGTCACAGTATTACCTCTGTCCACAGTGGGGGCTCTCAAATGGGATGGCCATCCTGACTCCCTAGCTGGTGCATGTCCGAAATTTGGAGGGGCAGGACGCAGGGCTTCCTCAAAGATGGAAAACCCTTGCTCGCGTACAGAATTGAAGATGAGCCCCGTCCTGTACAGTTACTTGCGGTTAGGAGTGCTGCAAATAATGGATGATACATCTACCGACAGCCTGATCCCTCCGTGTGCTGATCTTGAGTACAGACTTCTGTGGTTCCATTTGTTTTATGCCTTTGTTCGTAAGCACGTGTATCCTACAGAAATCGGGCTCAGAACCATAGAGAGTGTGATGCTATGGCTTATTTAGAGGTGGGACCTTGCTCTCCCTGGGTGAGACCTCATAACACCCAGCAAAGCTTTGGGCACACACACGGCACTTCTAAACCCACTGCAACCTTGCGGTTGCACCGTTTTTGGGGGAGTTTTCCTGGCTCCCCAGAGGAAGGTAATCATTGACTTCCTTCAAGACCCTCAGGATGAGGGGCAGCCCCTGTGTGCGGTTTCCTGGCCTCGACAGAACGGAGAGGTCCGTCAGCCTGGTGGTTTGTGATTCTGACATTCGGCATCTGGCCGGAGGCCTGGCCTGGCTGCCTGATTGAGTTTCAGCTTTGCTAGGTAATTATAGGAAGGATATGATTTCAATAATAACTGGAATTTTAGGCCCAAGAAATACCGTTTTTGAAAAAAAAAATGTCAATGTTTATCATTAGCGTGGGTTCCGAGAGACATGGGTTTGGTTGGTTCTGTGGTTGGTCCTTGATGTGTGGTAAGCAACCAGTGTGGGTTCATGAAGCACAAAGTCAGAATAAAAGCTCATGAACGTCGGATAG